GAGGGGCACACTGCGGGTTTAGGGGAGGGAGCCGAACGCTGTGGGTGTAGGGAGGGAGCTGAACTCTGTGGGTGTAGGGAGGGAGCCGAATGCTATGGGTGTAGGGGAGGGAGCCGAACGCTGTGGGTGTGGGGAGGGAGGGGATGTTGTGGGTTTATGGAGGGAAGGGCACGCTGCGGGTGTAGGGAGGGAGGGGGACGCTGCGGGTTTATGGAGGGAAGGGCACACTGTGAATGTTTGGAGGGAGGGGGACGCTGCGGGTTTATGGAGGGAAGGGCACGCTGTGAGTGTCTGGGGGCAGAGGCACACTGCGGCTGAAAGGAGGGAGGGGCACGCTCAGGGTGTAGTGAGGGACATGCCGCAGTTGTGGTGGGAGGGGCACCGTGTGGAGGAGGGCAGCACAGAATTTGCCCCAGGATTTTGATTTTTCCCTTTCTCTTTTTTCCCTCTCTCCAGTTAAGCCAACGGCAACGATCGAGCCGGACCCCCTCTACCCCCGGGAGGGCGAGGAGCTGCGGCTGCAGTGTGAAGCCCAGGGCAATCCGATGTAAGCGCCAGCGCCTACCCCTCCCCAGCCCCTCTGGCTTCCGTCCTCTCCTGCAGGGCTGCCTGCACCCCTCAATGCTCTCTTCACCGGGCTGCAGCCTTGCTGCTTAGGCCTGCCCCAGGGGCGCTGCAGCTCCTTCCAGTTCAGTGGGATGCAGTCAGGCCTGTGTCACAGTCTGCAAGGGCCCCTGGGAAATTGAAGCAACTGTAATGAATTCCCAGCTGGGCTGACCCCTGAAGCCAGCACTTGCTGCTGCATGGGCGGTGCCAGCCCAGTGTGTGCCCCTCGGGGAAGTGCCCCTTGCCTTTCACTAACCCACCTCCTCTTAGCCCCCAGGAGTTCCTGTGGACGAAGGAGGGCAGCGATGTCCCCCTGAATCTAAACACCAACCGAGTCCTCACCCTCCCCTTCCTCAACAAGAGCGACAGCGGCACCTACATCTGCATGGCCACCAGCACCATGGGCAGTGTCGTAGTGAGGTACAACCTGGACATCAATGGTAAGCACTGGGCACCAGAGAGGGCGTGGGGCGCCTGCCTGCTGTCTCCTCCCCTCTCTGGGGACACGCACCAGAACCTCTCCTTGCACTCGGCTCCCCGGAGCCTCTGCGATACACTGCCAAATACAGTGGAGTTGTCCCTCTGTGGGGCTCGCCCCCCACTGCTGGAGCCATCTGATGTGTGCCCCTGGGTTTGTGCAGCACACCCCTTGCGCGGAGCTCTGGGTGTGTTGGGATCACCCCCTGCCGGGGAGTTCCAGCTGTGATGGGAACACCCCCTCCCAGGGAGCCCCAGGTGTGTTAGAAACACCCTATGCGGGGAGCTCCGGTCGTGTTGGGAACACCCCCTGCCGGGGAGCCCCAGGAGTCTTGGGAACACCCCCTGCTGGGGAGCCCCAGGTGTGTTGGGAACACCCCGTGCCGAGAAAGCCTGGGTGTGTTGGGAACACCCCTTGCCAGGGAGTTCTGTGTGTGTTGGGAACACCCGTTGCTGGGCAGCCCTGGGTGTGTTGGGAACACTCCCTACCGGGGAGCTCCAGTTGTGTTGGGAACACCCCCTGCCAGGGAGCCCCAGGTGTGTTAGAAACACCCTCTGCGGGGAGCTCCAGTCGTGTTGGAAACACCCCCTGCTGGGGAGCCCCAGGTGTCTTGGGAACACCCCCTGCTGGGGAGCCCCAGGTGTCTTGGGAACACCCTGTGCCGAGGAGCTCTGTGTGTGTTGTGAACACCCGTTGCTGGGGAGCCCTGGGTGTGTTGGGAACGCCCTCTGCCAGGGAGCTCCTGGTGTGTGGGAACGGCCCCTACCGGGGAGCCCAGAGTTTGTTGGGAACACCCCCTGCCAGGAGCACCGGGCACGTTGGGAACACCCCATGCTGGGGAGCCCCAGTGTGTTGGGAACACCCATTGCCGGGGAGCCCCGATGTGTTGGGAACGCCCCCTGCCGGGGAGCCCCAGTGTGTTGGGAACACCCATTGCCGGGGAGCCCCAGATGTGTTGGGAACACCCCCTGCCGGGGAGCTCTGTGTGTGTTGGGAACGTATGTTGGGTACGCCCCCTGATGATGCTCTTTGGAGGCACACTGGAGTGTCCCACGGAACGGGCCCTGCCCCAGCATGGACCCAGCCAACTGCAGATGCTGAGCCTCAGGGACATTGTCTCTGAGCTCCTGCAGCTGCTTCTTTGGCATGGGCTCCATGAAGCTGCTGCTGCCTCCTCCAACCTGTTCCTCTTTTCTTCCTTCTCTGATATTTCTCTGCTGCTCTGCCCTCCCTACTCCCATTCTCCCCCTGGGTCACTCCTCACCGCGCTCCTATGCTCACTCCTCCCTCCTTCTCTCCTGTTCATTTGCTCCCCTCCCTCCCCACTGGCTCCTCAGGCCCCCCGTGGCAGAGCAGAAGGGGAGCAGATTGTCTCTCCAGAGCCCTGCAGGAGCTGATGGGTGTTGCTTGGCCGGGGAGCCCATGCGCAGGAGGAGGAGAGCGCTGCTTGTGGGGAGCTGGAAGGGGAGCCACGCAGCCTGGGCTGGGTTCAGCCATTATCTGCTGCTGTAAGGACAAGAGATGAGGCTGAACTGGGGCAGGGAGGGGGGTGGGCTGCTCAGCTACCCGCCTGTGGATAGTGATATGGGAAGAGAGCAGCCAGCCACGTGGGTGCCTGTGCACCAGGGGTGAGCTGGAGCCCAGGTGTGGCACCAGGGCCTGTCAGCAATGGGGAGGAAATGCTGGCCCTGAACATCAGGGACTGCAATAGCTGGAAACACCCTGCTGGTCCCTTCTAGAGCATCCCCAGGGCAGAGCAGGACTGGCCCTGCAGGAAGTTTGGAGGTGTTTGTCCAGTCCCATGGGTCAGGGCTCCCACCCGTCCTCCAGCCAGATCCAGCTGCACACGTTCAGAAGGGCTTCCTGGACATTCAGATTGCTCCCCCCTTCCGGGATGGCAGCCCACTGCTCCGAGCTGCACCCTGTGCAGGATACTGAACTGAGTCTGCCCTCTCCCTTATTATCTGTTAACACCCTGCACATGTTGACAGGCTGAACTCCCCGGTATCCCGCCCTCTCCTCCCAGAACAGATGGGCCAGATTTGCCCATTACTTTGGGGCACGCTCATTTATTAGGGTTACTCTTCTGGGGGTGGGGTTCTGTATTTCTATCCATGTACTGCTTGTGTCACTTGTGTTCTCATACGGAGCTCTACTCCTCCCTTCTGCAAGTTCCCTCCCAGAGGAGCTCTCCTGCAGGCCCTAGGTTCTCCAGGGCCGGGTTCTTCCAGCCCTAGAATCAGACGAACACACACACACACACACACACACACATTAACAGAGCACATCTGAGAGGACCAGGTCAATCAGCACTCCCAAGCTGACCCCTTATGTCCCTGGACTCAGCAGGCTGGGTCGAGCAGCACTTCCAAGTTGTCACCCTCATAGGCCCTTGGATTCAGCAGGCTGGGTTGAGCAGCACCTCCAAGCTGTCACTCTCATATGCCATGCACACTGCACTGGAATAGAGCACGCCTGAGCAGGCTGGGTCGAGCAGCACTTTCAATCTGCCACCCTTATATGCCCCTGGACTCAGCAGACTGGGTCAAGCAGCACTTCCAAGCTGCCACACTCATATGTCCCAGGTTCAGCACGTCCCTATCCCCACTTTCACGTTACAATTGTTCTGGTCGTAACCCACTTGATGAGCAGACCCCACAGGATTTTTGGGTGCTGCAGGGATCTTTAGCTTAGGTATGAGGAGCGTTGCTGCAGAGAGAGAGAGAGAGAGAGAGAGGGAAGCAACCAGCTTAACCATTAAAGTTATTTATTGCCAGGTAATAACCATACAAGGGGAGCCAAACAAACAAAACAGTTATAATATTAAATCTAACTTAAATTTGATTACAAAAGTCAGGTTTAGAAAACTATAAGTGATCACAAAGTCAGGGTCAGAAGGCTTTACCTAGAGAGAGAGAGATGGGTTCTCACCACTCCGTGAAGCTTGAATCGATCGGGGTTACCTCGTGGTGGTGGTGGTAGCAGAGAGTCCAGAGTGCTGGAGACAGGCAGAGCCCCCAGCACAATCAGTCAGGAGAAGATGAAGTCCCAATGGAACTGATGCAGATGTTGGATCCAGGCATCAGAGCACTTACTTGAGCATGGGTAGAAGTTTTTGTAGGGAAACAACAATGGTTCAAGGGAGCACACTAGAATTTTTTGTGGGTAAACTGATGGCTCAGGGGAGTATACCAAAGTTGTTTTGTTCAGGCTAGACAATAGGAACTGCTCATTCCTGGCTATGGGTGGTGTTCCTTCGAAGGAGCTCACAATGCAATTAGGCAGCTTCAGTATTTTGGATACCAATAAAGGATTTATTACTAGAATTGGTCTGATAACTGCTGAGCTGGGTGTGTACAGGCGTGGGTTCGTTAACATCTGGAGCAGAGATCCCCCAGAGTTCAGTGTGGTTCTTGCCTTGGAATCTCTGTTCTCCATTCTGTATGCTAATGGGGATGCCTCCCTGTCCCATCCTTGATGCAAATGAGGCTAGGGGAGTTGCCTTAATCCTGTCACCCTTGTCCAGAGGGGTTTAGGTGTGTCTTCCACTGCCTTTTCATTGCTTGTTGTAAGCCAGTTTAGGGCCAGATGTTCAAAAAAGCCTGACTCCTCCCAGCTCCCACTGAGAACAAAGGAGGCTCAGCCCCCAGCCCCATGGAGAATAATGGGCTGCTGAGCACTTGGGAACTTCAGCTCTTCCTCTCTTCCCCTAACTGAGCCTTCCCAGCCCCAGATCATTTCTCTGAGCTGTCCAGAGCTGAACAGTGTCCCTGGCACAGCCTCTAGGGCAGGGGTAGGCAACCTATGGCACGCGTGCCGCCTTCGGCACATGAGCTGATTTTCAGTGGCACTCATACTGCCCGGATCCTGGCTACCGGTCCGGGGGGCTCTGCATTTTAATTTAATTTTAAATGAAGCTTCTTAAACATTTTAAAAACCTTATTTACTTTACATACAACAATAGTTTAGTTATATATTAAGACTTATAGAAAGAGACCTTCTAAAAATGTTAAAATGTATTACTGGCACGTGAAACCTTAAATTAGAGTGAATAAATGAAGACTCGGCCCACCACTTCTGAAAGGTTGCTGATCCCTGCTCTAGGGTATGATCCCTCTGTTCCTGCCCCAGTGCATTAGCAGCTCATGTCTAACCTGCTGTCCACGTCCTGCCAGCTGCCCCGGATTCTCTTCCTGTGGATATTCAGGCTGCTGTGGTTTTTTCACCTGCTGCACGTGCTGCATTTCCAAGACATCGCTGCTGCTATTCCCTGCCGATGTTTAATGAGTCCGTGTGCTCTGCACGTGGAACAGAGCCGTGTACCGTTCAAGGTTCTGATTCTGATCACTCTAATCTCCTGCTGCCTTGGGAGCCTTTCTGTGTCTCCACTGGTATTTGCAGCTCCTCCTAGTGGGGGTTGTTGGTGAATTTCATGGCTGTGCAGCCTGCTGCCAGACCAGCAGGGCCTGGCTTTCAAGAGCTCTCAGGGACACATCTTTGAAAGTGCTTGGTACAAAGCCAATCCCACCGTGACAGCCAGGGCTGGATTCTCAGGAGCTGAGCACCCAACATGCGTTCAGCACGCTTAGCTCTTTAGAAATGTGGCCCCGATTCTGTATACTGACTACTTCTGGAAATCTGCTTCTTTCTGTGACTTCCATCCATCCATCCCTGTAGTTCCCAGCACAGTTCTATCTCATGGTCCATTATTGTGAATTGGCTGGATTATTTTGGCAGTTCTTCCTCCAGTTTTCAGCAACTCCCGAGTCAATCTGAGTGACTGAGGTAAGCAGAGGTTCCGTGTGACAGGAAACCAAACTCCAGATACACGGCAGCTCCAGTACCATCTCCTCTTCTGCTGCCGACTGTGGAATTCTAGCCAAAAAACCAAAATCAAGTTTGTCTCTTCTCCTTCATTCTCAGTCAGCTCCCAGTGCTGCTTATTGCTCATCACGTCAGTATCCTCCATGCACAGGTTGAGGGAGCTTTCGCTTTAATAGTCCATCATTTTGCAAGGGGCAGAGGTCAGAGTGAACTGACAGTAACACCAGGATTGCTGTTGAACTTTTCTAAAAAAACTGGCACCAGCCCCCCGGAACCTTCCTAAATCCCCAGAACTTTTCTTTACTGCGCCGGCATGTAAGTCCATTAGCTCATCCCTGTGCCTCCCCGAGACTCACATTGTCCTGATATTAATACATCGCCCATTTGCCTGTCTTCACGTTTTTCATGGACTCTCTTGCTAGTTTTCTATCAGAAGCTTCCTCACCTCATTTGTCCCCATTCCTCGTCCATGTGTTGCTTGGTGCAGAGAGCTTTCTGACAAGTGCTCAGTGTCTCGGTCAGATTTCATTCCCTTTTGTACTGACTCATGTCCCTGCTGCACCCGCTCTCTTTGTCTTCTCCCCTGACATTTGTGGCAAAAGCCCCTCCTTCGCCCTTGGCAGAGTTAGCTCCTCCCTCGCCCTTCTTTTCTCCCTAGGAGCCTTATTGGATTCTGGTGGCTTTTGATGGTTGCTTGCTTTCCACTCCCTCCATTTCCAAAGCAAGTGACTTCCCCGCTCTGAAGCCTACTGGCCATGTCTTGTTCCTTCTCCAAAGAATCGGAATCTCGGAGAGCTCCTCAGTAACCACCACTCTGTGTGCACTCTGATGTGCTCTTCCATTGGACTGTGCTTGCTAGATTTCTGGATTCCCCAAATGTGCATTTCCACACTGAATGCCCCTGCTTTGCGGCGTGTGGTGAGCCCCTTATGCTGGGTTCCGGCAGGCCAGGGTTACAGGTCCCAGGCCTCCCTTTTGTTCTGTCTCAGTCAATTCCTTCAATGGATTCTCCAGTATCCAGGTCATTCAAGTCCTAGGAATGTGGACTGGTGCCTGGCTGGCTGAATCCTCTCCCAGAAGAGACCAGGACAGGTAGCCTCCCATGAGCAGAGCTCCCAATGGTTTTGAGTTCCCCGGGTGCTGGAGGTTGTCCCTGTTTGAGTCTCATCAGCTCAGCAGAGCAATCCCCTCCCTCGTTGTTATCGAAATGCAGATCACAGGGACTTCAGACCTGGTTCAGGCCCAGCTGCCAGCACCTTGTACCTCCTTTACACGACAGCGAGTCCCACTCACAATGGGCACTCACAACTCACAGGCTCTGGTTTTGCCCCTTCCAATCTCCCTCTTTGGCCCCCGCACTCAGATCCCAAACACACATTTGCCAGGGCCTTGCACTGCCTAGCGTCCTCACTGTGGGGAGGGATAGCTCAGTGGTTTGAGTATTTGGCCTGCTAAACCCAGGGTTGTGAGTTCAATCCTTGAGGGGGCCACTTAGGGATCTGGTGCAAAATCAGTACTTGGTCCTGCTAGTGAAGGTAGGGGGTTGGACTCAATGACCCAAGGTTCCTTCCGGTTCTAGGAGATAGGATATCTCCATTAATTTAATTTAGATAGAATGAATGAGCCAAAGATGTTAACATCACTGAGTCACTGTCTGACACCAACACTGCTAAACAAGGTCCTGGGGGTTAGTATCCACAGACCTCAGCCTGCTTTGTCCCTGGGCAAATACACCATTAAACATCCCTTTAGCCTTCTATTAACATACTGAAAAGAAGGGAAACAGTTGAAACCTTTGCCATGTAAAATGTGAAGTCAAGCTGGCATTGTAACAGCATCCCTAGATCCCTTTCCCTTCAGCTGGACAGTTTTTAGAATGAACAACCCCCCACCCCTATGTTGTTTGACAGTCTCTTAGACCAGGGTTTCTCAGCCCGTGGGTCAGGACCCAAAACTGGGTCGCCAGAATGTTTCAAAGGGTTGAGTAGCAGCTCGTTTGTGTCCCTTGGGGCTGGCTGGGCTCACCTCCCTGCTCCAGGCACTGCAACCTCTGGGTCTCAGCATCACTCAGGTTTGGCCCAGCCATCATAGTGACAGGAGTCCGGGGAGGCCAAATTTGAGTGAGAGGCACTGCAACCCCAAGAGCCAGGTCACAACTTCACTCACGCAAATTTGGTCTAGACAGGGGGGCGGGGCCGAACCTGAGTGACGCTGCAACCCCAGAGGTTGCAATGCCCAGAGCAGAGAGCCAAGCCCAGCCAGCCCCACAGCACAGGAGCTGCAGGAGCCGCCACTGTGGGGTGAGTGCCGGGCAGGACCCAACCCTCTTGGGAGGGGAGGCAGGATCCAACTGAAACCACCCCATGGCCGAGGGTTACCATATTTCAAGTTCCGAAATAGAGGACACTGCCAGGGGGAGGGGGAGTTGAAGAGCAGGTATAGTTTCTATGGCAGTACCATCCCATCCCACCCTTACTTCTGCCCTGCCAGCAGCCGCTGCTCTCCAGAAGGCAAGGAAGAAGGACGAGCAAGGAAAAATCACAGACATTTGTTCGTGTTTCAAAAGTCCACCCAGACGGAGGTCGGCGGACCAGAACAGAGGTCATGTCCGGGAAAACCCAGACATATGGTAACCCTACCAAAGCCTCTGCCCCCAGACTATTTACTGGATTGCAGCAGGCCATAAACATTTGCAAACGGATCCGGAGCCCAAAAGAGTTCAGAACCACTGACTTAGGTGGTATCAAAGATGGCGGTAACGGTCATCCCAGGTGGTGATTGGGATTCAGCTGGAGCCAGTGGGGTGGCCATGTCATCTGGGTCCCTTGTGCTAGCCCGGTGTGGTCAGGACACCTCTTGGGATCAGGATCTGCCCTGGAGTCCCAGGAAGCCCTGGGCATGACAGCCATGATGGTGAAGCTCACTCCAGGAGCCTCTGTCCTTCCTGTCTGTTCTTATTTTTGTTCTTTTCTTCCCGACAAAATCTCGTTCTTATAAGGACCGAAAAAGGGAGCGATGGGTGGAATAGCTCCTCCCCTCATTATTTTGTCCCCCAATTAGGTCTCATTTCTGACATACCAATTTTGGCTCATTCACTTCCTGCTCCACATCTCCTGTTTTTAACCGTGTAATTTCAACACAGTCCTTGACTTATATCAGCTTGGCCTTTTTGTCTGGACTAATTCAGCTATTCTGTCTCCCCTTGTACCTTTCCCCATCAGCGTGAGTCATTATAGGATATTGTAACAACTTATGAACTTCTACAGCCATTTCACAGTTGAGCTCACAATTTGGGTCAATATGTAGGCCCAGTTGTTACAACACCACGCCGCATAGCGATCCAGAGGCAACCCCACATCCACTTCCTGAGCTCCTGCCTGAGGGGACACTCCTGCGTTACACTGAGAGCCGGACAAGGGCATGCCTGGAAAGCTGCAGTGAAATGCCAAAGAGATGCCTGGAAAATGCTGCATTGGGCTGCTAGGCAGGAACTCATCACAGACACACGCTGAGAGCTACCAGAACTCATAACACCCAGGGCTCCTAAGCAGGAGCTAACCGGACTATACTGCCTGAAGGGCACAGAGCCAGGATGGAGGGAGGCAAGGAGGGGCTTATGGGCAGGGGCATGTGGAGGTCATCTGAGGCTGATTAAGGGCACTAGAGGGGCAGGTGGAGGCCATGGATCCAGACGTGGAGCTCGACTTTCCAATGGTCGTAGCCAGAGCCGGCTGGGGCAGTGAGAGGAAGTGGAGGGGCACAGGGAAGAGGAAAAGGCCCCGGACGGTGAGAGGAAGCAGAGGGGCACGGGGAAGAGGAAAAGGCCCCGGTGGTGAGGGGAAGAGGAAAAGGCCCCAGGTGGCAAGGGGAAGCGGAGAGGCACGGGGAGGAGGAAAAGGCCCCTGGTGACGAGGGGAAGTAGAGGGGCATAGTGAAGAGGAAAAGGCCAGTCCATGTGGATGGCAAAGGAGATCAAGGGTGGGTAAGGAGTCTTGATGTGGAATTGGCAGTGAATGTGACAGCCACAGAGCGGCAGATGGCAGGGGCTGCCTCGGCTCCCCTGGGAAGGCAAGAGGGAGAAGATGTCAAATAAGAAGAGGCTGAGGCTGGGAGGAGCCTGTAAGGAAGGAGGGGTGGAGCTAAGCAAAGGCCAAGCGTCACTGAGACACACACCCATATTGGGTCTCTGCTATACATTGTATAGCTCCCAGCATCAGGGCCCTCTGTTGGGAAAAGCTCGAATCTGAATCTGAACCTGTGACAGCAGGGGCTGTGGGTTGGGATTGAGGGGCACTGGCAGAGCAGTGGGGGAGCCAGAGCTGGGATAGCAGAGGGCTGTGGGGGATGGGAGCCCAGGCCTGGGATAGCCGGGGGCTGCAGGTCGGGATTGAGAGGCACCAGCCGAGCTGGGGGGAATGGGAGCCCAGGGCTGGGCTATCGGGCTGTGGCTGTGGATTGGGAGTGAGGGTCACCGGCAGAGCTGTGAAAGGGGGAACTCAGGGCTGGGATAGCCGGGGGCTGCAGGCCAGTATTGAGGGGCATTGGCAGAGCTGTGTGCGGAGGGCCCATGGCTGGGATAGCAGGGAGCTGCAGGTCAGGACTGGGGGGCACTGGCAGAGCTGAGTACAGAGGTCTGGGCATTAGGAGGGAGTTGACAGAGACCTCCAGACATCATTTCCATCTTGGAGTCTCTCACACCATTGCTGTCATCTCTCTGGGTTGATTTGTTTCCCTTTTTTTTGTTGTTGTCCTCCCCAGATTTTTCCCAGCTCCCCACCCCACATGTTCACTCCACTCCAGCCCCTTCGTCAGGCCCTTCCCAGTTCACCACTCATGTTACCATGGCTACTGCTTCATCCTTCACTCCAGTCGCTGTCCAAGGTACTGTAAGCTCCTTTTCTATTTCTTTATGGATTCCCTGCTCCCGTGCCCAGTGGGGAGCGCTGCAGGACATAGGAAGAGAATGGCTGCCAAGCCCAGAGGGACAAGGGCTGTGGCTCCAGTGGAGGAATTACTGCCAGCCCCTGGCTAGTACAGTCGGGATTGTTCCTAGCACCTGGCTTCTTCGTTGGAATGTCCAGGTTCTGCAGCCGCCTTGCCAGTTCACACTGCAAAGCCAGAACCCATAGGAGTAAAAGGTCCCATACTGTGGCAAGTAGGATTGTGGTAGCAGAAGAGGCCAGTGGCCCATCTAGTGTGACAGCCCACCTCCCTGTTGGCCCTTCTAGCCCAATACTGCTCCTGCCCATGGTAACACACACCACTGGTCTCTCGCTCTGGGTACTGTCTCTGCTGGAACCATTGCCAGAGGCTTCGAAGATTGTGGAAAACCCCCATATGCACCTTCTGGTCCCAGATGGGGAACTACCTATCTCTCCCCTAACACATGAGCCCTTAACATGTGTATGGTAGCGAGTGCTATTGCTTTCAGGCAGTGACATGTGTAATCAATGTACTAACAGTACTAAGCTATTTGCTATAATGCGGTCTTGTGGCAGGAAGTTCTATAGGTTAATCACACATTGCAGAAAGTGCCTTTTGTCTGTCTGAAGTGATGCCTTTTCATTTTGAATGCCTCTTGTTCTTGTGTTAAGGGGCTGGATGGCTCAGAGCTCTACTGGCTCCCTGCCCCGTTCCTCTATTTATATCCCTCTGCCGTCCTCTCTTTTATTCTTCTCCATTCCAAACTCTCCCCCTTCAGATGCCCCCTCCGTCTCTAAGCATTTCTGTGACCCTTCCCTGGACCTTCCAATTCCTGAGCCAACACTTTTGGGATAAAGCAACTAAAACTGAATGAAAATTTGCCCCTGCATGCCCAGCGCAGCTCGCAGACCCTGTTCCCCCGACAGGCACAGACTCCTGACACTGCCCCTGCTCCCAGATGTGAACACCAGACATCCTCCTCCTCTCCAGATGCAGACACGAGAAACACCATCACCCTCGGCACAGACATGAGACCCCGTTCTCCCCCCACCCCAAGCACAGACACATGAAACACTGTCATCCACAGGCACAAGGCATTGTCCCCATCCCCCCAGCATGGACACAAGACACCATCACCCCCAGCACAGCCATGAGACACTTCCTCCCCCCAAGCACAGATACGAGACACCATCCCCCCAGCATGTACATGAGACACCGTCATCCCCAGCATGGACACAAGATCCCGTTTGCACGGACATGAGACACCATCCTCCCCCGCCCTTGTGAGGCAGATGTGTAACCTTGGTGTGGGGTTGGGGCACTGTGACAAGGGGCCTGGAGGGTGCTCTGTTGTGCCAAATGGCCAAGGTGGGGCCTGGCAGGAGGTGCTCTAGGGGCACTGCCCCCCAGTCAAAGCCTGAGGTTTCCCTCTAAGTCGTGAGCACCCTGCATTCCAAGCTGCTGTCCCCTTCAGCCCTGTTCTGCCTTTGCTGACAAGAGACAGGATGGTTTGAACAGAGGGGCCAGAATGAACTAGGCCAATGTCAACTGCTCCGAGTGTAGTCACCCACCTGCCATGGCAGCTTCCAAGGCAAAGCACTCCTGACAGCCAGAGGAGCCAATTGCACAGGCTGTGCTGTTTCAGAGGCAGAGGAGACTGGCAGAGCAGGGTCTGTGGTAGCAATGGAGATAGAGCCCCTGTGCATGCCACGGGCAGAGCCAGAGCTGCGGGTTGGGATTGAGGGGGCATCACAGAGCTGGGCAGGAGCCCAAGACTGGAATAGCTGGGGCTCTGCAGGGTAGGAGGGAGGGGCATGAGCATGTCGGGGAGAGTCGCTCACTCTGTGGCCAGTGCTAGTTGTTACTCGCTTTCAGGAGTGCTCATTGTACTTGAGACCAGGGCATGGGTTGGCAGGGGAAGGAGAGGAGAGGGGACAGGGTGGGTAGGGATGGGGTGGGGTGAGGCAGGATGGAGATAGGAGATGGGTGGGCAGAGGAGAGGAGAGGGCAAGGATGGGGTGGGGAGGGAGGGAATGGACAGGGACTGGGGTGGGCTTTCACCTCTTGCCCAGTCCCAGCTCTCCAGGCCCTTTGACCCGCTCTGGCCTCTCTCTCTCCACTCCCCTCCTCTCCCAGTTTCCTCCTCTTCTGTCTGCATCCAGCCCCACCACACTGGGGCAAGAGCTTTCTCAATTGCAGCTCCACTGTGCATCCATCGCATTTCCCATCTCTGCTGGCAGCTCATCTCTGCCTCCATTGCATTTCCCATCTCCACTGCAGCCCCTCTCTGCCTCCATCGCATTTCCCTTCTCCACCGCAGCCCTTCTCCACATCCATCACATTTCCCATCTCCCCTGGCAGCTCCTCTCTGCCTCCATCATATTTCCCATCTCTGCTGGCAGCACCTCTCCTCTCTCTGCCTCTGCACTTCTCTCTCCCACTGGTAATATTTCACTCCCAGCTTTTAGGACCTGGCAGCTGGTGGGAAGGACACGGCCATAGGGAAAGCTGTGCTGTGCTGGAATGTGCCCTTAGCACCTCGAGGTTCCATGTAGGGGCACATGGAGCCAGGCCAAGCTCACACATTGCGACCCCCCAGTTCTGGCACTGAGAGAGTCTCTGTACCACACAGGACTTCAGCAGGGCCTGTAATCACCTCTGTCTCTCTCTCTCTCTCCCCCGCACTGCCACATGGATAGACGCCAGCCCGATGTCTTCCTCCTCTGGCACATACCATGCTGTGGTTGGTGGAGTGGTCGCAGTCATCGTCTTTCTGCTGCTCAGCCTGCTCATCGTCCTGGCACACTACCTAATCAGGCACAAAGGTAAGGCCTGGCCACTGCCTACAGCTCAGCTCACAGGCTGGCCTCTCAGAGATAGGAGGGAGAAGGCAGCCAAGTCTCTCTTGCCAATGGCCCTTGGTCTATTCCTGATTGCTCCCTGTTTACTGCTCTCCGTCCCCTGCTCTTCCAGAGCCTCCTGGGGCTTAGCACTGCCATGCGAAGCACAAGCGTTTTGCTTTCATGGCCCGGGTGCTGCAGGGGCATGCTGGGCATGGAGCATGAGGAGCTAGAGTTCCAGCCCTGGGGGAAGGAATCTCCTATTGCCCCGCAGCACCCCCTGCCTGCTGAACTCAGAGGAGTAGCGCATTACCTGGCACAGGGAGCGGAGACCTGACTGATGTGCTGAGAAACCTCAGCAGCTAAAAGCAGATCAAATTAAATCTGCACAGCACCGCATGGGGATCCCTGGTGGGTCATTCTCCCTCCCTTGGGGCTGGCAGCTTGAGCGTTTCTCCCACTGACCCCCAAGAGCAGGAGCAAGTCCCACAAGACTCTTGTAACCAATCAGCTTCCGCCTGCCTGAGCCAGGGATAGGGAAGGCTCCCAAATCGCATCCCTCCCTTCTCCGTCACTTTCCCATCACCTCTCTCTCACGCCCTGTCTCTCTAGTATCAGCATGTCATCGTTTTCTGTTCATTTCTCGAGCACTCATCCACCTAAATATCCTGCATCACATTCAGTCTATTCCTGGACTCCTAGACACTCATCCTCCCCTCTCTGACCATCTGCAGAGATTTTTCATTGGCCATATATTATCCATCCATCCATCCATCTGTCCACCTCTACACCATCCATCTACCATCCACCCCGCTCCAACCAGGCTATTCACCCGTCCCTTGACTTTTCATCTGTCCAGCAGATATCTGTATAAAACACAGAGGGATGGTCAGTCGTGCTGGAACCTGTGATGTTCATCATATTCATAAATGAGCTGGAAAAGGAGGTGAACAGGGAGGTGGCAAAATTTGCAGATGATACAAAATTACTCAAAATAGTTAAGTCCAAAGCTGACATCGAAGAGTTACAAAGCGAACTTACTAAACTGGGTGACTGGGCAACAAAATGGCAGATGACATTCAGTGTTGATAAGTGTGAAGTAATGCACATTGGAAAACATAATTCAAATTATTCATACAAAATGATGGGGTCTACATTAGCTGTTACCACTCAAGAAAGAGATCTTGGCGTCATTATGGATAGTTTTCTGAAAACATCCACTCAATGTGCAGCGGCAGCCAAAAAAGCTCACATATTGTTAGGAACCATTAGGAAAGAGATAGTTAATAAAACATAAAATATCATGTCACTATATAAATCCATGTTAAACCCACACCTTGAATACTGCATGCAGTTCTGGTCACCCTATCTCAAAAAAAAATGAGAATTGGAAAAATTACAAAGATCAACAAAAATGATTTAGGGGTATTAGGAGAGATTAAAAAGACTGGGACTGTTCATCTTAGGAGAGATATGATAGAGGTCTATAAATAATGACTGGTGTGGAGAAAGTGAATAGGGAAGTATTATTTACCCCTTCACATAACACAAGAACTAGGGTCACCCAATGAAATTAATAGGCAGCAGGTTTAAAACAAACAGAAGAAAGTACCTCTTCACACAATGCACAGTCAACCTGTGGAACTCATTGCCAGGGGATGTTGTGAAGGCCAAAAGTATAACTGGGTTCAAAAAAGAGCTAGATACATTCATGGAGGATAGGTCCATCGCTGGCTCTTAGCCAAGATGGACAGGGATGCAACCCCCTGCTCTGGGTGTCCCTGAGCCTCTGACAGAAGCCAGGACTGGATGACCAGGGATGGGTCACTCAATAATTATCCTGATCTATTCATTCCCTCTGAAGCTTCTGGCACCAGCCACTGTTGGAAGACAGGATACTGGGCTAGCTGGACTGGTCTGACCCAGTATGGCTGTTATGTGCTTATGACACCAGGCCAGCTTCAGAGATGATGTGTAAGTTGGAAACAGCCACCCCCTCAGCTCCTTTGGAGCTAGGTGCACCTCCAGCTAATGTAAGGGAGTCGGAGTTGGTACGACTTACATACTGAGGAGCCAGGTGTTTGAAGTTCATGTGGGGTGGAGGCTTCTTTGCTTTCCGCTGTCCTACACCCTCTGGGTAGGTGCTCTCCTGGCCCCTCCGGCTGTCACCTCACCCTTGGCTGTCATTATTTGTGTGGCTGTAGCTCCCAGAGCCCCAAGCAGCTGGGGCGGTGATGGGCTGGGTGCTGCACAGACCCAGAGGCAGCCATGGTCCCTGCCCTGAAGGTCCCACACCCTGCTCAACTCGTGGCTGATGAGTGAGGTTGCTTCAGCCTGGAGGGTGCTGGCAGGAGTAAGGTGCCCACTGAGGGGCTGGGAGTTGGTGGACATTACACGGGCTCAGACTTGCCTCTTGATCTAGCCCCCGGGGCTCCAGGCTGCACCTGGCCGCGGTGCTCTCAGCACAGGCGCCGTGAGTACAGCTGGCCGGGAATGATTTTCCAATGCCCTCTTTGCAAAATTGAGGTTTTGGGTGGGAAAATTGAAATGCCAGTAACCTGGCCACCCACCTGCAGGACAGGTGAGATTGACAAGAGCCAGTTCCAGGCAGTTCCCGGCCAGCTGCAAACCTCCGGTTTGGTTCTCCCACAGCAGAATTGTTTCCATTTCTGCCCAAGCAAAATGTCAAGGTTTCTGCTTCCCAGGTCACACCCAGGGGAAATATTTTCTGAAACCTCAACATTTTCAGCAGGATGGAAATTCCATTTTCCGGCCAGCTCCAGCTGTGAGCTCCAGCCCGGAATCCCCTTTGAGCCCTGCCTGCCACACGGTCCCTCTCTCGGGTGGTGCAGAGAGAGCCCAAGAGCCACCTAAACCACTAGGCACATGATGAATGAGAGCCCTCTCCCTGCCCAGGTACCTACCTGACTCATGAGGCCAAGGGATCAGACGATGCCCCGGATGCTGACACTGCCATCATCAATGCGGAGGGAGGCCAGGCCAGCGGCGATGACAAAAAGGAATATTTCATCTAGGGGTGCAGAGTGGAGAAAAGAGAATTGGAGCCAACAAACCCAGATGGAAATGGAAACCGGACCACAAACCCCACTCAACCCAACAGATTTTCTCTCGTGCCCTGGATGGATGGACGAACAGAGGGATGGCGGGACAGAGACCAGAGAGTGACCGGCTTGACTCATGATGCTTCTTCTCGAACTTGTATAAAACGTTATTACTAAAAACATTGAAAGCCCCACCCCCGTTCGCTTGCTTGTACCTTCATACCCGCGACCGACACTCGCACTAAACACACAGACAAGCCAGTGAGTGAGTGACACTTTCCTTCTTTCCTTTGGCCCCTTTGCTTTGGTTTTGTGGATGCTCTTTGCTTTGGTTCCTTGGGTTGGAGTGTCGGGGTGGGGTCAATGTCGCTCTTTCCGTTGCTTCTCTCCATTTTTGGTTCCTTTTACGTCCAAGGATAAAATCAGCCCTCATGGTGGCTGCCTGCTGCCATGGGCCTGGGCAGCCTGGGATGCTCTTTCTGTTGCTTATGTTTCCCATCCGAGAACCGGGGCCACGATTCCATTGTGTTCCCCCGTCCTTGGCTCCTGCATGGTGCTCTGAGCCAGACCCATGGGAATGACCCTGGGCTGAGGATGGGTGGCGGTGACGTGGGGTCTTTCTCTGCCCCACAGCAGCAAACAAGCCATGAGAGCCCAGGGGAATGTCCAGTGAGAGCGAGGAGACGGGGGAGCCACCCAGCCCGGCTCCTCTCCAGAGGGATGTGCCCTCCCCACAGCAAGATGGGGAGGGAGGCAGTGTCACTGCCTCAGAGAGCCTGGCACACCCAGCCCTGCACTGATTTTATCCTTGGAGGTTGTGTCTGACAATGTTCATTTGGGAGGAGAACTGTCCTGTGTGATACATGTACAAAGGGGAGCCAGCTGCCAGGGTGGGAGCCGCTCATAGGCTCCAGTCCCCACTGATGCCCAAGGAGAGAGATTCAAATGCTACAAGGTGACTGGCAGTGCTCGTGCATGGTTCCAAGAAAGGCTGTAAAGTGTCAGATTGGAGCCTTGACAATAACCCATCTGGTGAGATGCTCAGTGCAAGGAAACCATCCTTGTGTATCTTCCCTGTGCCAGGGAGTGATGAGCAGAGCGAGGCCCTGGCAAGCTAGGTGACAGGGGTGAGAGTGTCCTGGGCCTCCGTGCTGCTGTCATGCCTTTCCTGCTCTCTGACCAGTCGACCTGCCCCAGCGCCAAGGCCCGGGGAGCATTTGGAGATAGAAACCTTGCTATGATCACAGGTGACTTGGCCAAGGGGCATCTTTCTTCTAGGCCACAAATAGCTGAGCAACCTCATTCCCACAAACCAACCACCCAGAATCTGAACCATTACAGCTCATAACCTGAGCGGCTGCCCCAGACAGGGTGCTGGCAACCTCAGCTAGGGCCAGGGGAGGGAATGAGCTTCGTGGCAGACTGCCCTGGATCCAGCTCAGCGGCCTGGGAAGTGTGCTCGGGCTGAGCTGCACGTGGTCGGGGACAGAGCGAAGTTTGCTCATCAGACCTTTCAGCTTTGGGAACCGTAAATTCAGTCAGGGAGCCCCCTCCCCAGGCAAGAGCCTGAGAGCAGCGTCTCAAGCCACAGGGCTGTTACCTGTCGCCCACTCTCCAGAGCCATAGCCCTGCTCCCTCCGGAGCCCGCATGGCCCTCACCTGCTGTCGCCCCCTTCGAAGAGCACACATCATTCCCCTCTGAAGAGCCCCAAGCCTAGCCCTTGAGATGGGCTCAGCCAGACAGCCTGGGAAGTGGGTGAGGGGCTCAGCTAGAGCCGCCAGACTCGGGGGGGCTTAGCTATTACAGCCATGCTGGGGGTTCCTCTGATTCTCCTCTGGGGTGTTCACTGTTATCAACGCCTCTCCTGAGATCTGGTGTTTTTCTCAAAGCCCCAGCTCCTGGAGTCATGTGAATATCTGAGCCTCTCAGCCTTCATTTTTAAAAAGTACATTTCTAGCCCTGCTGGTTGGAGAGAAAAGCTGGAAAACATGACAGGAATGTGGCCTAAAGGCTGCAATATGAGTAGGCAAATCCCCTGCCCCCACCGCCAAATTTAGAATTTTTGAAAATCTCACAATTCTTCAGCCAGTCTCAGGATGTTGGGGAGCCTGACTCACTGCTTTTGAGCATGCGAGGCTGGGTCTTGGCCCCTGCGATAGGCAGGAGCAGCATGGCATCTGCCAGCTGAGTGCATGAGATGGTGATCAGGCCATCAGAGAGCCACCCGGGACATTATATCTGTCTGTTTGTGGGGGCTGCTGTAATTCTCACTGGTGAGAGGCTGGGGGAAAGGACCCTGCAGGGACTGGTGGTGGCTGCTGCTCCTTCCAACAGAGGCACAACAGCAAGTGCTAGCAGAGGGGCCTGGCCAGGGGCGAGGCTGTTTGGTCAGCAGAGACTGGACACAAGTGCTGACTGAAGCCGTCTCACCCCTGAGGAGCAGGGAACTAAGACCTGGACCCCAACCCCAGGACCCAACATACAGGCTTCAACAAATGAGTGAAAGGCTTCTCTTCCCTGTGACAGACACTAGCCAGGCCCACCCCACGCACACAGAGCCAGTGCCCCGTGTGCTGCTCCCCTTGGCATGACTCAACGCCAGCCTCGCAAGCCGGGCTGAGTCCCAGAGCCAGGCCTCAGGCTGTGATAGCTCCATGCACTGCTGGGAACAGGCACAATTATGGTGTAACTCACCCCACCCTACAGAGGTAGGCCTTGGCTCCTGGCCCCTCAGGTCCCAAACCATGGGCCTCTGCCGTGGGCCCCAACAGCATCTGTCCTCTGCATGGGGCGCAGGCCCACGAGGCCTCATCATGCATGCATCCACCCAGTCTGCATGGCACAGGCCGAGCACTCCAGCTGCCTTGAAGAATCTCTAGGCCCTCTTGCGGTAGCCAGGTAGGGTCTTTGCTAAATGCCTCCCTAGGCGCCTGGAATGTGACTGAGTCTCCATGTGTGGGTTCCCTGTTCTCCCCTGGGGCCCTGACGGGCCTGGGCTCCACTGAGACCCTAACAGGCCTGGGCTCCCTGGGCTCCCATGTGGTTAAGATGGGCCTCGGGAAAGTAACAAAGGGCACTTGGCGGCAGGCAGCCATGGCTCTGTGTAAGCACCCAGGAGGTGTGTGTGAAATGAGGCATCCCCAGATATAAGGCATGATCCCCCTCTCCTGCCCAGGGGGTTTATACAGGTCCCACCCCTCCAGTGCATGGCTGTTATAGGACGTTCCATGCCTTGTAAATATGGGACTAGCATTTTCCAGGCCTCTGAGGCATGGGACCAAGTAGAGACCCAGCTGTGGGTGTGGCAAGGAAATGGGAGGGCCCACATGTCTAGTGGGAAAATCTAAACTTCCCCTCATGCTGGGTGTGTGAGAGGCAGGAGATATAGCCTTCTAGTGGCTGTGAGACTGATGAGACACAAGTTCTTGAGTATGTGGGAGCTCCAGGATACATCACCATTGCAGGGGGAGTTAACCATGTCCCAAGGGAGTGCAAGTGACAGGATTCAGCATGTCTTGTATGTATGGGAGTGCCAGGATACATCCAATCTCTAGCATGTGGGAGTGATGGGATAAAGGTGTAGGACTGATGGAATACATCGTGTCTCGAGTGTGTAGGAGTGATGGGATACACCATGTCCGGAGTGTGTAGGGCTGATGGGATACACCATGTCTTGAGTGTGTAGGAGTGATGGGATACACTGTGTCTCAAGTGTGTAGGACAGACAGGATACACCGTGTCTTGTGTGTGTAGGAGTGGTGGGATACACTGTGTCTCGAGTATCAGAGGGGTAGCCGTGTTAGTCTGTATCCACAAAACCAACAAGGAGTCTGGTGGCACCTTAAAGACTAACAGATTTATTTGGGCATAAGCTTTTGTGGGTAAAAAACTACTTCTTCAGGGGCATGGAGTGAAATGCCTGCATCTGTATTTGTCACTCCATGCATCTGAAGAAGTGGTTTTTTACCCACAAAAGCTTATGCCCAAATAAATCTGTTAGTCTTTAAGGTGCCACCAGACTCCTTGTTGGTTTTGTGTCTCGAGTGTATAGGAGTGGTGGGATACACTGGGTCTCGAGTGTGTAGGAGTGACAGGATACACCGTGTCTTGAGCGTGCAGGAATGGTGGGATACACTGTGTCTCGAGTGTGTAGGAGTGATGGGATACACTATGTCTCGAGCGTGTGGGGGTGGTGGGATACACCATGTTTCAAGTGTGTAGGAGTGATGGGATACACTGTGTTTTGAGTGTGTAGGGCTGATGGGCTACAGTGTCTCGAGTGTGTACCAGAGATGAGATATACTATGTCTCAAGAGTGTAATAGTGACAGCATATACTATGTGTCCAGTGTGTGGCAGTGGCAGGCTACACCGTGTTTTGCGTATGAGGGAGTGACTGGATACACCTCTGTGTATTAGTGGTGGGAGTTCTGGGTTCAGCCAGGTTAAGGTTTTTAAAAATCTAGCATGCTGTCATGACATTAAACGGTCATTTGTGGTTTGAGGTTTTGCATCAAGTTGGGGCTCGTGATTCCATGTAACAAGCACCATTAATAAAACCACTGAACCTTGTATAAAACACACAGTGAGGGGAAACACTGAAAGCATTGCTCACAGAGAGTGATTTTCAAAAGTTCCTTTATTCCCTTTCCATTTATGTGCACAAAGATGTATAAAGGAAAGGTCCTTGTCTGAGAGCCCTTTCGATCAGTGCAGGTGTCACCCTGCCCTCGGGGGCAGGAAGGTCAAGCCCAGGGGAGCAACCAGACAGTTCTCTCTCAATTGCTCTCCATCTCATTTTCATTTTTGGAAAAGTCAGTATTATTCTTGAGAGAAAAAACCTTAATAATGTGATCAATGCGGTGATGTCTGCCTGAGTCTGTAGAGAGCCTGAAATCGTAGTGCTGAGGTGTGACTTGTCCCTTTCATTTCAATGGTTGTAACTCTGATGCCAGTGATCACTATTTCACTGCTCATCAAAGTGTGTGTGAATGGAGGGAGCTGATACTATTATGAAGATCTTTAACATTCAATATTGAATAGAAATCATTCCTTAAAATAAAAATGTAAGGACATGATTTACAATACGATTTCATTTCATTTCATTACAAATCTAAAAGCTGGGCAGGGTGGGGTGGGGGAGGGGGCACAAGTGATTTCATTTTCATGGGGGTGGCAGGGGAGGGCTCAGTCTTCCAAAGTTTGGGAAATGCTGCTTCAGAGTGTAATCAATGTCTTTCTGGAGGGAAAAGGGAATAGGTTAGTTACGGACTATAACTCGTGGGTTGCTGATGTTAAAATTGAAGTCTGATTCTTTTTAAGACAAAGAAAGAAAGAAAGAAAGAAAGAAAGAAAGAAAGAAAGAAAGAAAGAAAATACATCTTTTGTGTTTCTGTGACTTTTCACTGGCAGCGTAGCTGCTGCAAAGTTATCGGTGCAGCACACAGTCTCTCTGGTCTCTCCAAGACCTTGCAAACTTCCATCCAAATCAGGATGTTTAAGTTATTGGGTCAGATCCTCAGCTGGTGTAAATGGACATAGTTCTATTTACTTTAAGGGTGCTATGCTGATTGACCTCAGCAAGGGATCTGGTTCCTTGCTTTAGCTTGCCTTACTGATCACTCCAATGTCACGTTGATAAATGCTGGACTGGCCATTATGCCAGACTCTTATTAGACAGAAGGTGAAAAAAGAAAGATAGGACAGAGGGAGGAATAAGGTGAGGAGGGAAAATGATGCAGGAGAGCGGGGGTGAGAGTGGGGAGGGAGGGGGTTGAGATGGGTCCCAG